TGGATTCCAGCCATTTCTGATAGTAATTCTAATTTGTAAGCCTGAAATCCCACCCTAGCCAAGACTTTAAATGGTCCAAGGAAACGAGCGATTAGCTTTCCTCGTTTTTCAAAACGGATAATACCTTTCCAAGGGGACACTTTTAGCATTACACGGTCGCCCACTTGGAATTCCATAGGTCAGCTCCTCTTGTCTGCATAACTCTTTTGTCGATCATGCGCCGCCTTTAAGCGCTCTTGTATACACTTCACCTTGTCGGCCGTTTCTTGCACGATTTCAGGGCCGGCGAATTGTTTCTCACCTGCTTCAAGCCAACACACAGGAGTCCTATATTTTTGCCCATACAATGCTTCAAAAGGTGCCATCCCGATACTAGAATGATAACTATTGTTGTAGGCAAACTCCACGAGAGGTAGGTGAGAATCCCAATTCCCGCCAAAGTTGATAACACATGATCTAAGCATGTCTTCTAGGGTTTGAATGGTCCGCTCACTCTGACCATCGGTTTGAGGATGGTAAGTTGTACTCAACTTCACCCTTGTGCCCAACTCTTTCTGTAGGCCGTCCCAGAAATGGGAGGTGAATCGGCTATCTCGGTCCGATACTATTGACAACGGTATACCGTGTCTTGAGACTGCTTCGTCGATGTATAACTTGGCAAGCTTCTCCATGGGCAACGTTTCACGCATTGCTAAGAAGTGAGCGCTCTTTGTCAGCCGATCAACCACTACCTAAATCGTATCATGGTTTCTTAAGGTCTTCGGCACTTTGGTCACGAAGTCCATTGTAATATGTTCCCACTTCCATTCGGGAATCTCCAAGGATTAAAGACTACCATAAGGTCGTTGGTGTTCCGCCTTCACTTGCAAACAAGTCACACATTTCTCTATGTAGCGAGCCACATCTAACTTCATCACAGACCACCAATATGTCAATTTCAAGTCTCGATACATCTTGATGCTACCCGGATGAATTGAGTATTTGGACTTGTGCGCGTCTTCTAGTAACAGTTCGCGATTGCCTCCAACCTTGGGCACCCAAATACGCCCTTGAAACAACTTCAAGCCACAACCATCCTCCGTCAGAAGTAAGCGTTGCTTCATCATTACTTCACTCTTGAGATTCTCTTCCAAAAGTGCTTCACCTTGTGCCACTCTGATTCGATCGATCAGACTGGACACTAAATCGATTCTGGTAAGTACGGCTCTCGTTCCACTACCGTACCCCTTTCGGCTCAAGGCATCCGCCACTACATTTGCCTTACCCGGATGGTATATCAATTCGCAATCGTAGTCTTTGAGCAGTTCGAGCCAACGTCGTTGCCTCATGTTTAACTCTTTCTGATCAAAAATGTACTTCAAACTCTTATGGTCGGTGAAAAGCATGTACTTGGTACCATAGAGGTAACGACTGCATGCAGCACGCAGACCTGCTGTTGCCGCTTCGGCTTTTTCGACTGCCGCTGCTGTTTCTGCTTCTCCCAACAGCAGCTGTGCTGTACTCTGTTGCTTCTTCAATCCAACAGCTGTTGTGCTGTTTCGTGACGATCGAGAGCGGTAGCGAGCAACGGGCCAACCAGCAGTCTGCTGTGTGCGACCGACAGCGGCTCCGGCTGCCTTTAAACTTTCCCAAACCAACCGCTTCGGCTGACTGCTCTTTCCTCAAAACGGTAGTCACGGCTGCTGCTGCTGCTGTTTATTCCAACTAGTTGCTGCTCTTTCTTCCAACTAGTTGCTGCTCTTTCTTCCAACGCGTGCTGCTGATTGATTTCTTCCTTTAACAAATCTTCTTTCTTTTTTTTCTTTTTTTTCTTTTTTTTTAAAGTACAAGAGGGTAGGACTAGGGTAAGGATGTGAGATGACAGCTTACTTTCCCCCCTCCCCCTCTTTCAAATAATGACCTCCTTTCAAGCAAGGACCAATTGATAATAAAATTTAAATATATAAAATAAAGTTTTAAATTTTCTTTTTCTTTTAGTAAGTAAAGAAAACATCTACGACATTAAACGGGATGGTAAACATTGACGAGAACGAAACAGGGAACCTGGGGAAATTTTGGGGTGTTACAATGTCATTTTAAATATAAAAAATCTAAAATATAATTATGATAATCATTGATAACTAACAGAATTTAATTAAGGAAATTACACCAAAACACAAGAACTT